GGTAGAAAGTATCTGAAAGGCCTCCGGAAGCAATGTGGGAAGCTCAGATCTCATTCAAAATCTTTGGATGCTCTCAGTGCCAAACGAGACGGCAGCTTTTCAGGAAGCAGTCCAAAGCAAATAGGGATTCCACTGGCCACATCCCGATCAGCAAGACATGCTATGAAAGCTGCAATAGAAAAACAAACAAAGGAAGGTGCTTTATAGAAACCGGTTAGGGCCAAAATTAGCAGGGCTTTCGAGCCAGCTGTCCCAACAACCTGTTTGGAGAGGAATTACCTTGTGACTGTTCTTCGCCGAGGTTGTCCTTTTAGCTGCTTGCAAGCCAGAGGAGAGCCTAGAGGCAGAATGTACCGAGCTCTGTTTGGGAGTTCTCCCTGTGGAAACGTCCCTGCTGAAATGAGTGAGGAAACGGAGCCGTAATCGCGGTGGTACAAACCAGACTTTTTCCCGTCCTCTAGTAGGAGAGGAGGCTGAGACTCAGCTGAATCACATGTGTAAAAATGACAGCGAGCAAATGTGGTTAGTGGTTGGTTTTAGGATGGATTGGGAAGCTTGGATTTCGTCAAGGGCACTGAACTTGTGAGGATCTTTGCCATCTGCTGTTAAAAGACCAAGCTTGCACTTACCTGACAGACGTGGAGGGAGAATGACAGCCATTTCATGTACGCTCTGTAACTGGCTGCCTACCGATACGGAAAGCATTCTTCAAACTTACTGCACATTGAAAATACCTGAAGAAACTCTTCTATTTCATGGCAGAATGAACGAGTGCCATCGTTCTCAAAAAGCGTAGATTTTATTCTGATGCAGGCTAGAATCAAAGAAATAGCAGCACTTGCTTGTACGCCGCTTGTGCAATCAAAAGATTGGCGAGGCTGTAGGCATTTGTTGGAAGATGAATAATTATTTCTTCAACCGGGCTCTTGCGAGTTGAGCTGATGTTCAAAGGTGCATAAAAATCACTTTTGAAGCAAACAAAGGCATGTTGTTCGTGTTCTGTTTGGGTTTTGAGTAAAAGAAAAACCCCGAATAAATTATCCAAGGCGTTCCTACATTTCTCTGTCCCTGGACAGAGATCTTTAAAAGGCTTTTGGGCTGCAAGAATGCATTCCTATGAGGAACTAAAGCCTGCCTGCCCACACAGCGAAGGTTTTTATTTCTTCATCAAATTTAGCAATACACTGGTTGGGGAATTTAATCGCTGCTGGGACCAGTACTATTCAATATGTTCATCA